TTAGCACGTTTAATTGTTATATAGAATATAACAAGTCAGTTATCACTCTTCCTTTTTGTTTATAGGCAAGAGAATCTCTCACTTTCAAATTTTTTAATATTTTATTAACTTTAAACTAATATCTTCATATGACATAATTAGTTCTAATCAAATTTATAATGATGGTAATTATGTAGACGTGCATATTCCAAGTCATGGATCAAGAATTGTTTTTCCAAGTCAACTCACGGGTTGTAACTAAAGATGGCAAGTCATAGTCCAAATTTTAAGGCTCTCTCTAGTTACGGAGGACTAAATTTTGTTTCTCTTCATATTTATTATTATTTTTAGCCAAATTTTTGGGACTACATGTTGCCTGCCATCAAGTTAAAACTTAGTCTAGCTCTTTGGTTGGAGACTGACTTTGTCAACGTCAATTTTAAAGCTAAATGTGACCTATAATCCTTGGCGAAGATGACCTAAGCGCATAACTTAAATATTGTATGACATAAAATTTTTTTATTGTTTCACCAAATATAGTAAATAAAATAGATTTATTATTTTTTGTAGTTTACGAATTACACTATAACTTCCTGAGATTTTTTTTTTTTTAGTATATTGATATTTTTACACTAGGGGAATGGGGAGTTCGGCTAATCCACACAATGGGCAACCTAATTTGGTATCGAATTCGCCATTCACGAGATTCAAACATAAGATCTCTCACTTCCAAGTGAAAAGGAATATTACCAGACTGTAGCATTAAATGGCCCCTAAGATTTATTATGTTTTCACAAAAAACCTCACATTTGAGAAATAACACTAACACCCTTTGAGATTTTAATTTACTTTTATATCACCCCCTCAAAGATAAATTTACCCTTACAACTAATTACATAAAATTTAAAACTTTATAATAAATAGAAAATCAAGACAAAAAAAGTTCACATTAAACATAAAACAGTAAAAGAAAAAGAAATAAAAAAACCCTAGCATCTTCTTCCCCATCTCTTCTTCTTTTTGATTGTCGGCAATACAAACCAAAAGCTAATTTGACCACCCATTTTCAACATCCATCGACACATATTGTTGCTCCCCAGTAACCTCTCCTAAAATGCTTTGCGAGTGGGGCAGCAACATTTCTCTATCTTTTTAGTACTCTTTCTCAGCCATGTCTTCAACAAAAAGAAAACATGTCTCAATTGCAGCTAGTGATTCTTCGTCTTGTTTATTCTTGTTATTTTGATATGTTTGTTGCTCTTTTGGTTTTCGCGTGCATATAAAGGATCAACTACAATGACCCGAATTCACCATCAAATTAGGCGTCATTGTAGATCATCTCCATCAATCCAATCACACTAAGAGCAATCATACAATTTTAGCCTTCTTAAAACAAAAATGTTAAGGAGACTCTCTTAAAGTGGAATTGTTCATGGATTCTCTGTAACCTCATATTTTTTAGGGATAACTTGATATAGATCCAATTTTGTGAGAGATTAGTAGAATTAGTCCACTTCATTGAAATAGGTCCAATAATTGAGATTCCATGTATATTTATTTGTGGTTTGTACCATATTTACCCCTTAGGTTTACGAATTGTAGTATATACACAAAATTTCTTAATTATGAGATAATTTGTGGTTTAACTAATCCCTTAATTGTAGGATTAGTTATAGCCATATAATCACCTCAACCCCCAGTCTGTTTCATCCCTGATTTTTTCCTTCTTCCAAACAATTCCCTCTATCAATCCTCCTCTTTTTTGTCTCTTCTTTTCATGGGTGATATTTTTGTGTTCTTCCCTCCAAATTCGTTCCTTTAATGGAGGTATATTATATCATATTTATATTTTTATGTTCCGCCATGTAGGTTCCCAGCATTTTTCTTCCAATACAATAGGTAGTTTATTTTTGTTTTGCGGGTAGATTATATTTGCTTTGTAGGTATAAAGCATTTTCTTCCTATACAATAGGTAGGTAGTTACTAGATTATATCGGTCTTGTTTTCTTCATAAATAGTAGGTAGTTACTAGATAATATTTTAGTTTGAGTATTTAAATATTCAAATTTAAAAACTGAATAAATGATAAAAAATTAAAGAATTTAAATATTTTTATCTGAAGGGGCAAAATTGATATCAAAATATGTAATTGGATAACTGGACTCAGTCCCAAAAACTATCTAAGTTTTTGGACCTGGATCCAAAAGCCCCTATTTTTTATACTATATTTTATATTGTTGATCCATGAATTGACATTAAACTGTAAGGTGTCTAAGAGTCCATGAAGTTGCCCACTTGAGAGTCTCCTTAGCATTTCCTTTTTAAGGTAATGCTAGGGAGACAAATTTTCTAAACTAAATGATATGAAAGTTGACGGTTAAATTATAATCTAAGTGTTGAATAACGTGTTTATTTCTTATTGGTGACACAACATTTAGTTTGCAAATTTAATCTATCTAGCATTAGTTTTTGTTAAAACACGGTAAACCTCAGGGGATGAGAATCCTCTCCGGATCCTCTTTGTGGGGATCCTAGGGATCCTCACATTCTAATCGTTCATTGTACATCGTGCGGTCAATTTTCGTCAGATACTATTTGTGTTTAATTTTTAAATAAAAAAATCAAATGATTTATAATCATACGATGTACGTTGAATGTCTAAGATATGAGGATCCCTAGAATCTCCACCATTTGGATTCGGATAAAATCCAAATCCACCCTCAAGGAGTGTCAATGTAATTATCCTGCATATTTTACCTGGAACTAGACTTGGCTGCTGCAAATTCAACAGCTGCTAATACTTACACCCAATCCAGGCTGGACATGTGTTCAAGTTTTGATTTTTTTAATCAAACTCGGACACGTGTCCAACCAAAATTGGATGTAAGCAGCATATGTCTAGCTGGAATTTGGTGTAAGCAGCAGCAAAGTTAAATCTTTTTACCCGTCCTTGATTTCCTTTGAATTTTGGAATATGTGCAAAACTCCAGCTAGAATTCACTATCTACACATCTCTTTTTACTTTTCACACATATTTCTTAATATTAAATATAGAATCGCATGAATAGAAATATATCAAATAACAGAAAATAACAAAAATATGTAGATAGTACCATCCTTATTACAATTCATATACATGATCTCTTTATTCGCTCTTCTGCGATTGTTGTCGTAATGAAATATTATATTATTACAATTAAAAGTAGGAAACATATAGGAGTCAGTCATATTAGGACAGCTATGTTATCTGGCGACAAAAGAAAGATGAGAACAAAATCATCATGGTGACATAGTGGTAGTGGTACCACAAAGGATCATCATCACCTTGTTGTAGTTACTCTTTTGGGATAAATGCTTAAGATATTTTACAAAAGGCAGGGCTCTTTATTTTTTATTTTTTGGTAAAACAGGGCTCTTTATCTTTTATTAACTCATCACTTTACACTATAAAACTCAATTTTCACACTATTCTGATCGAACTCCATCTATTCCGTCAATTATACTGACATAGAAGGGTAATAAAGTAATTTCATCTTAGCTGTCAGTACCATTCTCTATGGTGACGTGGCAAAAAAATATAAAAAAATAAACCCACCTCCTCCACGTGCCCACTCTTCGCCTCCCCACTCCACTTACCATCACAAAATATTTTTCTAGAGTACTATTTATCAAATATAGTCAAAATTTGACCCTTATTTTAAAAAATATCAGTTTTTTTTATAAAAAGATATCATAGATAGCCAAAAATGAACTTCAAAATACTTAAATACCCTCATCGCATATGAGCTCCTGGGATTTTTTTTTCTCTCCGTACCTAATAATTGTTCAATTCACGTATATATGCATATGGGATTGTTTCTACTCTTTATTTTTTTTATTTTTAAGGGTTTTGATTATTTCAATATATTCCAATCCAATAAGTAGAAAGAACAAAAAGAGAATGAGCAATCAACTTTTGTCTAATTCATTTATTAATTAATGAACACCTACAATTTTATATTCTTGCATGATAATCATTTGATATTTTTTTCTGAAAACTTCATAGACCTGCAACTTCTACATATTTTCAAAATAGAATTTTTCATGTCTTCGTTTGGGTAGAAATCTCTAGTATACGGTTCCATGGCATTATGCATAAATAATATTAATTTGGGGAACACACACTTTTATAACGATCTAATTGTTGTTTCGATTGCTCCCCATAAATTCTAATACATCATTTTTACTTCAATTTTTATACTTATAATGCGTTATGGTTTCACAATGGTGCAGCCAACATACATTCATGGTGTTTGGTTTGTTTGACAAGGCTTGCAATATCCTCGTTTGCCACTCCCTTCCTCATAAACAACAATGAATAAAATTTAGAAGGCTGATGGCGGCTTTTACTTGTAATTAGGTTTTAATTTTGAGGGCATTTGAGTATATTTAAGTAGAATTTTGGATACATCTGAAATTCTTTATAAAAACTGATATTTATGGATTTAAAGGCTAAAGTTTGGTTATTAATGATAAAATCCCATTTTTCAATGTATCCTGAATACGGGGCGGCATGGTTTTGTGTGTGTGTTTTATTTATTTTATTTATTTTATTTATTTTTTATTTTAAGGTATATCGATATTTTTACACTAAGGAGATGGAGAGTTTGGCTAAACCACACAATGAGTAGCCTAATTTGGTATCGAATTCGTCATCCACGTGATTTGAACATATGACCTCTCACTTCCAAGTGAAGAGGAATACCACCAGACCGTAGTACTGAGTGACAACAAAAAATTGGACCATTTCTCGTTATTATAAGTGAAATTTTTTATTGAAATGTCTAGCTACTTGTAGTATGACATATGACATAGTGTGCTGTATTCTGGACAGAATTCAGATCCTCTTTGTGAGGATCCCGAGGATCCGTGAATCGTATCTGTTCATCGTACATCGTGCAGTCAGAAATTATTTTAAATATTTTTATTTAAAATAAACACAAACAGTACCTGACAAAAATTGATCGAACAATGTACAATGAACAAACACAATTCATAAATCTCCAAAATCCTCGTCAAAATGATCCAGAGAAGATCTTGTTGGTTCTGGGCATACTAAAAAATCATTCCCCGCGTCACGACCACCCTTTTCCCTTTATTCATAATCACAATACGTCCCTCTCTTTCTCTTCGATGGACAACGACTGACAAGACTGATGTGGGTATGGCTTGTGATGAGGAAGTTTGAGGGAAATTCAGCTGCTGCTTGGTTGGGTTTCCGTGAATTTGTTCCATTTTATTGTTTTCCTTCATAATTTTTTCAAAGAGTTTCAAACCTAATATGAATATCACTCCGCATAAGAACCAATCTGTTTCTTTTCCATTGAGAATGTGATTATTGAAACCAATTTTTCATTTTTCTCTTGGGCTCAGATCCACGGACCACAGTCGAGCGGAGTCGTTTCCATAGAGGCACAGAGTGAGTAGATGGAAAAAGATCGAAGAGAAGGAAGAAGACTTGACGATGGATTTGGGGCTCAAACTTTGCAGCTGTTGTGTGAATTCGGGGTTCAAATTCCATGGATTTGAAGGTCATACTCGCAGGGTTTTTCTTTGAAGGAAGAAGGCATGACGATTTGAGTTAAATACCCTTCTCTCATATGTTTAGATGGACACCACATAGCCAATATTTCTTCCAAGCCAACAGATTCTGTTAATTTTTACGAAATGGATAGAATTCGACCAACAACAAGAACAACAAAACCTTTTTTCACTAAGTGGTTACAAAATCCAACCAAAATGAAAAAAAAAAAAAAAAAAAAAAAAAAAAAAAGAAGGAGCTACAAAATGCAGAGTGATTATATTTTTGTTTCAAAGAAGAAAGTGAATTTAAATTCGAATTTCAGGTAGGGTATGAAAAAAGCCTTAATTATGTTTAGGATCTTCATTCTCGTAAGTCGTAATGATATTCAAAAGCGTGCAAGAAATCTATTTCATATCCAAATTTTCTCCAAACAAATAAATATCCTCAGTAAACAAATATAACGGACAAAATTATCATCTTGAGGCTTGTTATATAATTAGTATATATGTGTTAGAGGAAGTATTTGTTGATATTATTATCTAAAACATTAAGTATAAATTCATCATCTTGCTACATCATCTTGCTATATTATTACACATCAACTGCCGACCTCAATTGTCTGTAACTGGCTCTTCCTTATCAATTAAATATATCCTATCGTTGCTATATTTAAAAAAAAAAAAAAAAAAAAAACAAAACAAAACACATCAACTAGTTTTACCGCGCGATTGTATACTAATATCTCACAATATTTTTTCTTGATATATATAACTCAACTAATTAAGACTTAATGTAACTGACAATTTAAAATTGATCCATTAAGCCAAAATAAATATTTCATTGGATTGTATCTTAATTAATGTAACTGACAATTTAAAATTGATCCATTAAGCCAAAATAAATATTTCATTGGATTGTATATTCCCCCCCCCCCCCACCTCTCTCTCTCTCTCTCTCAAAGCTCCTTATTAACTAAAGATCTTCATTGAAACAGAACCACGTATGTGTGCAGTCCCCAGAAATAATATCTCCATGTCGGCCATAACTAGGCAAGTAGTACTAAGTACCAAGTAGCAACTACTCAAGGAAATTGTCAATTACATTAATATCACCTTTGGTAACGGCTTGGCCGATTGGCAACGACTTCTGAGACACCTATTTTCAAGGTGGATGTTGACTGCTTTATCTTAGGGGTTATCCACCCTTCTTATTCTCACCCTAGGTTATGAAAGAATATGAAAATAAAAAAAATCTTGGTTTTTTATTTGAAAAAAAAAAAAGAAACTTTGGGATTGCTAAATAACAGACGAAATAAATATATAAAGGCACAAGGGCGGGTGTAGCTGATTGTACTTCCTCTCTGCCAGACCCAACCCTAAAACTAATAAAAAGAAAGGGTATTCAGCTCGTTCCTTATTTACTTGGGTGCACTGCGTTTTCAAAAGCTTCCTGTCGAACCGGCTTCTATTTCAATCCGTGCAGGGACCATCTTGATGGTGTGGTCAATTTCAAGGATCATCTTGATGATGTTGGTCAATTTCAAGGATCATTTGTGATAAAAACCTATAAATCTTATGAGGCCCATTTATGTGTCACATTAACACTTAACAGAATTTTTGACAGAATTGTGACGGAAGGACCACATTGATTTGTGACACCTATTTTCAGGGACTACATTGATTGATTTTCAATTTTAGGGACCATTTTGATGGTGAGGGTCAATTTCAAGGACCATTTGTAATAAAAAAAAACTCCAAATTAAAGTCAAATTTAGCCAAATGTTAGGGACATATAGTAAGTCCTCAAGCTCTTTGGTGGACTCCAACACGTGCATTCTAATTTTTTTTTTTTTTTTAGTACATCGATATTTTTATAGAAGGGATAGTTCCACACAATGGGCAGCCGAATTTGATATCGAATTTGCCATCCACGAGATTCGAATCTAAGACCTCTCAATTTTAAGTGAATACGAATATCACTAGATTGTAGTACTGAGTAATAACACGTGCATTCTAAACTAAGATGGAAATATTTAGCCTTGCACGGTTGGAGATAGAAAACTTTAGCCTACATTATTTTTTAAAGGCTTTTTAGCCAAAACGGTTCCTGAGATTTGCATAACACATAACTTTGGTCCTTGAGATTTAAAATCAATAGAAGTGGTCCCTGAGATTGTCCACCATCCATTATTTTGGTCATTCCATTAAAAAACTCCATTAAGTGGTCCCTAAGCTTTTTAATGGAAGAACCAAAATGATGGATGATGAACAATCTCAGATACCAAAGTTATGTGTTATGCAAATTTCAAGGACCAAAATTATGTGTTATGCAAATCTCAAGGATTAAAGTTATGTGTTATACCCTCAATTTAACGGAGTTTTTTAACGGAATGATCAAAATAATGGATAGTGGACAATCTCGGGGACCACTTCTATTGATTTTAAATCACAGGAACCAAAATTATGTGTTATAAAAATCTCAATAACCATTTTGCTTAAAAAGCCTTTTTTAAATTATTAATTTTGAGGGGCCACGTTTAGCCTTCATGACAAGAGATGACCTAAGAGGGAGAATAAATTGGCATCAAATTTGTTATTTATGAAATTCAAATCTTAAACCTTTTACTATAGTTTTAGATTTCGTCCTTGAATATGACAAAATGTGGAGAATTGGTCCCTTCATCATTAACTTTGTTAGATCTTTCGTTATTTCTCTTACATGGCATCAAAATTAAAAAAAAAAAAAAAAAAAAAAGCTTGAAAAGAAAAAATCGTACCCAGACCTCTCTCCTCTCTCTCCCACCGCCTCCCACCAAATGCTTGCGACTTCACCACCGTTTCTCTCTCTCTCTCTCTCAGATTTTAAATGATCAACATATTTTACTTTCAGAAAGAGCTAAGGGGTGGTGTGGATGCGAGATAGGTTGGAGATAGGGGGTTGGGCGGTTTGTTGGAGGTAGTCGTTTGGGGTGGATGGCGGGAGGTTGGGGGCTGGGGTGGTTGCGGGTTGCTGGAGGTAAAACTAGTTTAATTGTTTTTTTTTTTTCTTTTAATGATCTCTTTTCTTTGTTTAATTTTTCTTAAAACATTTCAGAATTTGTATTAAAAAAATAAAAAATAAAAAAAAGATTTTGCCAGAAAAGTTAACAAATAGACCAATGCTATATGTACTATAAAATTTAAAAATTAAAACTAAAGAATTTTTAATTCAAAAACGAAATTAATTTCATAATAAAAATATAGGAAATTTTATAGTTTCCTCAATAAATTTATTTAAGGATTTTTATCACAAATAGTTCTTGAAATTGACCAAACACATCAAGATAGTCACTAAAATTGAAAATCAATCAATTTAATCCCTGAAAATGGGTGTTGCAAATCAATGTGGTCATTCCGTCACAATTTCATAAAAAAATTATGTTATGTGGTGATGTGACACATAACTGGACCTCACAAATATAATTAAATATTATCACTTGAAATTAAAAATATTTAAATATTTAAAAAACTATTTTTATTTTTGTATAATCGAAAACTTGAAAAAATAAAATAAAATAAAAGATGAATAGACATCTTCTTCTTCCCCTCCCCAATTCAAAACCTTCATTGCCTTTTAAAAGCTTTCGGGACTTCAGAAATCCTTCACACTTTGGATAGATTTTCGCTACTAGAGTCCACCATATGATCAACCTCCAATTTGGTTGGTTGGTTAAACAGTTAACATCAGCATCGCCTTTTCTTGGGCTTCAGCTCCGGTGGCTTCCTTTCCTTCGCCACAACCATCGCCTTCTCTTCCTCATCGGAACTCGCTGACAACTCACCATCCTCAACTATGTTTGTCCCACCCAGACTCAATCCCGACTCGCCGTCGCTGAACTCGAACCGTGGCGCAGTCGAATCCCAGACCCAACTCAACCGAGTTTTTCCATTTTTATTTTTTAAGTTTTTAATTATATAAAAATAATTTTTTAATTATTTACATATTTTTAGTTTGACATGGTAATATTTAATTGGATTTGTGGGATCCAATCATGTACCACGTCAGCCCATAACAAAATATTTTACGGAATTGTGACGAAATGATCATATTGATTTGCGACATCCATTTTCAAAGACTACATTGATTGATTTTTAATTTCAAAGACCATCTTGATAGAGTGAGTCAATTTTAAAGATCATTTATTACAAAAACCCTTTATTTAATTATATATTGAAATACTAAAATAAGATAAAATGTACTCGAATACTTTAGTAGATAGAGTAGTGTTATTTAGATACTTATTTTTTTTTTCACATACTCTTCTTAATTTTTAATCATAAAATTGAATTAATAAAAAAATATCAATGAAAAATAATTTAACAAAAATGTACAAAAATATAAAATGGACGTAGATCGGACAAAATATATCATGGGTTTAAAATTGAAAAAATATATGTGGTTTCGAGCCATACGGGCCCGGGAATGACCGACTGCTGCAGTGCCTCTGGCCAATCCCAACTCGACAACGTTTTCGACGAAACCACTCTGGTTTTCCAACCCCACCCATTGCACTCTTACAGCGGTTTTGAAATATCCTAAAATTATATCATATAAATACAGCAGAGAATTTTTTTTTGTCAAAATATACAACAGAGAATTGAGTCACTCGTATATAGACAGAGAAGGAGATATACAGAGAGAGAGAGAGAGAGAGAGAGAGAGAGAGAGAGAGGGAGCAAAAGCCATCTGTGTGCCATCTGGTTCTTTCTCTCCCATTTTTTCTTGGTTTCTTGGTGGGATTTCTGGTTTCTCTAAACCAGGAGCAACCATATATTTATAACGAGGATTATTAATTATTACTTTTTTATTTATAATAATAAATAATTGTTAGAGAGATTATGGGGAGGGGAAGGGTGCAGCTGAAGAGGATTGAGAACAAGATCAACAGGCAGGTGACCTTCTCAAAGAGAAGGTCGGGGCTGATGAAGAAAGCTCAAGAGATTTCTGTACTTTGTGATGCTGAGGTTGCTTTGATTATCTTCTCCACCAAAGGCAAGCTCTTTGAGTACTCCAATGATTCCTGGTATAATATGTACCCTCTTAACTACTCTTTGTTTCAACTACCATAGATTTTTTTTTCCAAAGAAACCTCGGCTGTACGATTGAGTTCAACGTTCTTCTTGATTATGTATCTTTTTACTTTTTGGTTTTTTTAGGGCGTGCTATATATTTCAGTTAAATTATTTGCGTTACATTTATTTCATGCAGTGCTGTTGATAATATCCTTCTGGTTTATGGTGTTGAATTTTCCCAAGTATACCGATAATTTTGTGTCATTATTTTCTTGCTCCACAATTGTGAATTAATTTTTAAATAATATTTAAAGTTTCTTGAGTTTCTTTTGTGGGATTTTCTCTCTCCTTTAATTTCATGCAAATACCAGCTGTTCGTTGTGTACCAGTGTACCACTGAGAGAAAAGGATGTCTGTGAGAGGGAGAGGGAGAGGGAAAGAGAATATATATTCCTCCGGGTCTATGTGAAGGTACGATAAACCTGTTCATCCATATAAAACAAAAACGGGAAGAAAAACACTTTTCGTTATGATAACATGTGGTGTCTTTTCGCTAATCTGCTTGGGGAGAAAGGGGAATATCTAGATATAGGTTAAAAACAGACTAAGCGAGGAGAATAATTAATTAAACCCAAATTAATTTGGTTTGGATCCTTAATTCTAAGTATCTCCTAGTTAGACCTTGAAACGTAGACTAACTGGAATATCCTACATTTTCTTTCTTGTTTCAGTGAATATATATATATATATAGAGAGAGAGAGAGAGAGAGAGAGAGAGAGAGAAAGAGGGAGAGAGAGAGAGAGAGAGGTTTGTGTGTGTGTTATAATATATACACATTTATCTGCGTTTAGAGTTATATAATTAGTAATTAATGAATTGTTGTCTGAGATTAGAGTATAAATTACACTCGCTAACAAGGGTTTGTGTGTGTTATTTGGTTTGTAAGTGGCATTACTTTCTTAACCATTTGTTTCTACCTTAGCTCGGATATCCTATAAGCAAATAGTACATCAAATCAGCATGAAGCAGCTTATTAAGAACCGGCACCTAAAACTATTTCAAAAGGCTAGATCATAAGACCTATTTCTTCTTTAATTATTATTATTGGTTGGTTCTCTCCCAGGCGGTTCCTTTAGTTGAAAATTAATTGATTTTCCATAAGCTTATCCCTGCAAGGATGCATGGATTGAGATTGTAGTGTACGAAACAAAAAAAATTTAACTATGAAACATATCCCCTTTATGTGTGTTGCATGGGGTGTTTGATGAGTGTGTTTCTTTTAATTAAAGTTTAGCATGCATATGATTCAATATCCAATGGATAGGGTTTTGTGTTTCTACTCATGTGTCTCAGGTTCGAAACTAACAATCATATGCCACTTGTTATGATTGTATTGATCCAGTTAGTTGTAAAGGAGTGAGTTGGTAAAATGTCGTATCGTAATTGTAGAGTGTCAGGTTGCTGTTTAACATATTGTATGACTCATTGATCCTTATCATGTAATAAGCAATACAATTCCGCTCATCTCTTTCTTCCTTCACCAACTGTTGATGGAAACTCCCCCCTCCCCTCCTCTTAATAATAATTTAAAAATGGTTGAACATGCATGGATGAGGGGGTTTGGAGGGCTTAATTTGTCTGTGATTTCCACGGAGAGCTAGTTCCCTATGTTTATAGAAATATTTCTTTTGTTTTATTAATTGTCACTTAATCATGGTATTTTGAGAAAGCTAACCAAAGTACAAATATGGTTCACAAATGAGTATTATATTATTAGTTTGAAAATTTTCTAATTTATTCAGTTTATAATTGGCCATAAATAAATAGGAGTTTATAATGTGTGTAGAAATCACTTTCCAAAAATATAATGTATGCATAAGATTCTTATAGCGCTTTTGGTTGCTAGAGTTCAAACTTCTCCAGTCGTCATACATATTTGTCCAATGTTCAATCCGGGTTAAGCAATTATATTTGCATTTGTTCAACTTCTTAGGTATTCTATGTCACAATTCCTCACTGTCCAGGTTATATAGATGTTGAATTTAAATTCGTTAATTGGTTTTGTCCAGTCAACTCTCATATCTTTTCCCACCACAACACTAACACCTGCAAATAGCAGCATATACAACAATGTTAGTTAGGTGATAATGTTTTAGCTCAACTTTCTTTATGTAAGCTAAAGAAGTTTCTACGCCACACACGATCGATAATATATCATGTTACATGTTTCCTCCTTAAATTCATTTTTTCATTTTTTTTCATGCTTGTTATTTAATATAAGAACACAATATTTGTATTAAGTTCATAGTTTTTATATGCATGAAATGAAGGTCTGTCTTATATACTATGACTACTTACTAGTAGATAATTTCCTTAATTTTTTGTATTAACAGCATGGAAAGGATCCTGGAAAGGTACGAAAGATACTCATATGCAGAGAGGCAGCTTCTTGCAAATGATAATGAATCCACTGTATGCCACCACACCCTCCTCTCTATCATTTATTGAAAGGCAAATAGTTTTAGATGAAACTTTTTTTTATCTTCTTTTCTTGTTTCAAGCTATACAAAGCTAACTTGAGTTCTGACCAAATATGGCTTCCTGCCTGGCTTTCTTTCTTATCTGAAAGCCAAAAGGATCACCATGAATTTGTTATCCATTGCTTTGTTGGTGTCAGTTTCCTAGCCTACGGACTGTATGATAACCATTTCATTTGCAGCTTTTATTTTGCACATTTTCTTGATAGCAAGAGAAGGAATGTAATGGAGGAATGTGGAATGAAAGGACGGTGGAAAGGAGGGAGAAATGAAGGAGAACGTAGGAAACAAAAACTAGAAACGAAAACCTACTAAAAATTGTTTTGAGTTTTGAGTTTCCATTTTGTCTATTTAAATCCATGAACACTTGTTCCACTTCCTTCCCACCACCCTTCCTCCACCTTTGCTCATTCCTCTTTTCTCCCTTGTATTCCCCCTCTATTCCTCACAAAAAGTAAAAAATTAAAACTAAAAACAAAATGGTTATCAAACATGTCCTTACCTAGCATTGCACATTACTTTTATCGCGTTTTTTATTTGAAACAGTTCGTTCATATATGGCATATTTTTATTCTTGTTTTACAGGGAAGTTGGACTCTGGAACATGCAAAGCTCAAGGCTAGGGTGGAGGTTTTACAAAGAAATCAAAGGTATACCAAGCGGATCAATTTAAGTACAAAATATCCCCCTTTATTTCCGTTATAATTAATAATTAAGGATCAAGTAATCAGTAAAAAATATAATACTTTCACTGATCTTGATTGGTTTGCAGACACTATATGGGAGAAGATCTCCAATCCTTAAGTCTCAAAGAGCTTCAAAATTTAGAGCAACAGCTTGATTCTGCACTGAAGCACATAAGGTCAAGAAAGGTAAAACCAGTAATGAACAAATTAACCATCAAGTATTTGGTACATATACACTAGATTAATATTGAATTTTTATTTGTTTTTGTTTTTCATTTTTAATTTAAAGAAATAGGCTAACTAATTGGAGTATGATTTTCATCACATACAGAACCAAGTTATGTACGAATCGATTTCTGAGCTCCAGAAGAAGGTAAGCCTAGAAGGCATTTATATATAGGGAATGAGAACACACCCTTTCTCTTGTGCTACACATTCTTGTTTAATTTTGTTTGATTTATTCGATGACTAAAATTAAACTGAAGTATGTAGGAAGAGAGAAGGGTGTGCTGATTATCATTTATATATATATATATATATATGTGTGTGTGTGTGTGTGTGTGTGTGTGTGTATCTATGCATGGAGTTATGTATGCATGCAAATACATGCATATATAAATCCATATTTCTTTCACCTTAATGGTAGAACATTGTCTGTGTGTGCCTTACATGACAGGATAAGGCATTGCAGGAGCAAAACAACTTGCTGGCAAAGAAGGTACGTAACAATATAGATGTAGTGTGTTATAAAATGTTTAATTTCGTAATTCCCATCGTACTGGCATTGTGTATATTGTGTATTTAATTGAACCATATATAATTAACTAGGTGAAGGAGAAGGAGAAAGCAGTAGCTCAACGGCCACAATTGGAGCATGCGCAGGAGCAGAGGTTGGACTCCTCTTCCTCCCTTCTTCCACAGGCATTGCAGTCCTTGAACTTCGGGTTAGCCTTTCTCCATGTTTAGTTTGGGTTTCATTTAAAAAAAAATAGAGATGGAGAGAACATATATTGGAAAACGAGGAATGAAAAATAATCGGAAGGTGGTTGAAGGGAGAAAAAAAAATGAAGAATATTATATGAAAACAAAATTTTAAGGCTCATTTGATAACCATTTGGTTTTAGTTTTTAGTTTTGTGTTTGTGAGATATGAGGAAAGTATGATTGAAAGGAGGGACGAAGAAGAGCGGAGGAAATATGCTGGGAGTGATAGATGAAACGTACAAGGAATGATACACAAAAAGAACACTAAAAATAAAATAAAATAAACTATTTGAAGTTGTTTACACTTTCAAGATGTTTTCATTCATTCTTCTTTATTTTGTTCCCTCCCTCACTCAAGCCATCTTAATCCCTCATTTCTTCTTTATACTTTCTCCATATCTCAAGGACAAAACGTAAAAATTAAAAATCAAAAACCAAAATGGTTATCAAATGGACCCTCAATCTTTTATTTTTAGTTTTCACTTTGTATGTAATTCCTTTCACATTTCTTCCCCCGTCCAATCTTCACTCTTGATTTGGCTTTTGAGCCAAAATGATCCCTAAGATTGACATAACTTCTCATTTTGGTCAGTAAAATTGAAAATCGATAGAAGTGGTCTCTAAGTTTGTGTAAATCATTTTGTTCTTTTATGAAAAATCTATCAATATCCTCGTTAAATAAAGGGGTTGATCTGACAAAAATACCCTTAAAATAGTGATCATGTGGCCGTTCACGTGGCAATTTAACGAGGATTATATTGACAGATTTTTTGGAATGACAAAAATAATTTACGGTAAACAAACTCAGAAAAACTTCTATCAATTTTCATTGTTAGGAACTAAAACTAAGAATTCTGTCAGTCTCATAGATCATTTTGGCAAAAAAATCTCTCGATATTCAATATTTTGTTCTCCCACATTTTTTTTATCATATATAACATAATATTGAAAATTAAAACTAAAAAAAATAGTTATAATACAGGTTAAATTAATTCATAAACGTGTGAATATATATTATATTGCAGCAGCGGGTCCAATTACCAGGCCATTAGATCAAGTGAGGGAATACCAGGAGATAATCAGCAGGATGGAGATGAAACTCCAACTCCACGTAGACCTAACATGCTGCTGCCCCCTTGGATGCTCCGCCACCTTAATGAATAGAAGAATTCATCACCATGAAATAATATTATCTCCAAAGGGAATAATATTATATAACATCAATTAATCAAGTAAACATATTATACTTATATATATCTATATATCTATACCAAGAAATTAATTGGTAATGTGCATGATGAAAACCCTAGACTCGATCTAGCTCCAAATGTGTATCGTATGTTGGAATTCAATTAATATATCTTAAGGGCTAGTTTGGTATTATTGTGCTTTAAAAATAAATAAATAAAAACTTTTTTGCTATGTTATGAGAATAAACTGTTATGAAATTAAGTAGTGAAGTGTTTGGTAAATTATAATTGTAAAGTGCTTGTAGCAAAAAAAAAAAAAAAACACACAATGTTAGTGTTTAGTAAATTTGTATGTAAAACATTTGTGGATGTGCAAAATGATTAAAAAAAAATACTAGACGTATTATTAATTTAATTGTTTGGCAAATAAAGATCAATTATTAAATATACTTTTTTTTGAAAAAAATTAATAATATTTATATCTTAATTTGAACCTATCACAAATACTAAGTAGTACGACAAATTACTTCAAAATTTTGAAATATTTCAAACTGAAGAGCTATATTCATTAGCACAACATTGTTGAGGCACTTGAAATACCATCAACCAAATGATACAAACTTCAAATAGAATAACAATCCAAATATTTTTCAATATAAAAGTTGTCATATCCTGGTTTGGACCCCCACCACATCTCTGGCTCGACTCCACAGTAGCACGATATTGTCTGCTTTGGGCCCCGACCACGCCCTCACGGTTTTGTTTCTAGGAACTCACACGAGAACTTCCCTGTGGGTCACCCATCCTGGGAATGCTCTTACCCCTTTCTCGCTTAATTTCGGAGTTCCTATGAAACCCGAAGCTAGTGAGCTCCCAAAAGGCCTCGTACTAGGTAGAGATGAGAATATACATATAAATATAAGGCTTACAGGATCCACTCCCCTAGGCAATGAGATGTTACAATCCACCCCCCTTAGGGGCCCGACGTCCTTGTCGACACACTTCCGGTCAGGGATTGGTTCTGATACCAAATTGTCACATCCAGGCCTGGGCCCCCACCATATCCCGAGCTCAACTCCACTGTAGCACAATATTGTCCACTTTGGGGCCCTGATCACACCCTCACGGTTTTGTTTCTGGGAACTCACACGGGAACTTCCCAATGGGTCACACATCCTGGGAATGCTCTCGCTCCTTTCTCCCTTAACTTCTGAGTTCCTACGGAACCCGAAGCCAGTAAGCTCCCAAAAGGCCTCGTGCTAGGTAGAGATGAGAATATACATATAAGGCTTACAAGATCCACTCCCCTGGATGATGTGGGATGCTACAAAAGTAGTCTAATTAGATGCATTCATCAAACTGTATGGCTATGCGCTTCTATCTCATATGATCCTTGAGCATGATAATCATGGTATTCTTCATCATCATCACTAGCGCTACCAGTGATCATGTTCAGAATGCCTCTTTATGTAGTTATGAAGAGTCATTATAGCAATGACAATCTCACTTGCTTATTGAATGAATAGTTAGGCGTATCCTTTAAAATTGTCCATCTTTTCTTCCATAACCGAAATGTCTATTCAAGGACGCTCATAAGCAAAGTATGCATGTGGTTGAATACCTCGTTATGACTTGTTGGTTGGGCACCCATACAAAAGTTTAGGAGATGCTATCTTTCACCTTATATAGTCCAAAATATCCTCTCATTTGTAGTTACCCCGCATCTACCAAATAATATTTTCTTGTCAAATGAAAAATTTGTTTTCAAATGTAATAACTACACAAAAGTGAGTATGAAAAATATTAATAACAAGTACGAAGATTCCGGACAAATAAGAGTAAAAAGTTTACCACCTGGAGGTTTTGGAAATTTAAATTTAGACTCCGTAACACCAAAAGAAAAACCCTTGTATCCAAATTTAAAAACCCAACAAGAAAACCTAACAAGGAAAGAATGAAATAAACTGAAATTTTTAGAGAAGAGAAGGAAGCTTACCAGAGGAAAGATACGAGCTAGGAGATGAGAGAGATCAGAGCTGGGAGGAAGGGCGCGAAAAATTTCAGATTGGGTCTGCCTATGCAATAGCGTACGATATAGAAAAAGTAGGGTAGGATAACCATTTTGAAATTTTTATTTAAGTAGTATTATTCACTCTAGTTTTGGGATACAAAAATAAAAATAAAAATAAAAAGGAAAATGATCCTCGCTGGATCCTTTTTTTTAGGGATCCTCACCGGATTTTTTTCCTAGAGATCCCGCAATCGTATACATTCATCGTATATCGTGCGTTCAATTTTTGTTAGGTACTATTTATATTTAAATTTTAAATGATTTTTGACTGCACGATGTATGATGAATGAAAACAATTGCGGAATCTTTAAGATCCAAAGGAAAAAAATCCAATGAGGATCCTTTTCCAAAAAAAAAAAACCGTTTTTCAAAGCTACCACTTGACCGTTCAGCTTTTTGACTTCTTTTCACTCTCAATTGTGTAAAAAAAAAATGGTTTTAATATGGTTACCAAACGCTAAAAAAACCCCGGCTTTTTTAATACCCACTTATAAAGCATTTAAGCAATATCAAACTAGAACTTAATAGCCCATAACCTATGTAAAGAGTGGGCTACAATTACATATTGTACGTTTATATTTATCTCCTCTCCTAATCTCTCTCTCCTTATATCCCTTCCTATTTAAACAGTTACGATTACGCCATGTCTACATCTTGTTTTGAATTTTTTATATAAAAATAAGACAAAAAGAAGAGTGTGAGAGGAGGGGATGAAAGAGGATGGTAATAAGAGGGGAGAGAATCCTACTCCTTGGTATTCTGCTTAATTTTCCTATTTCTTCTACGTGCATATACTGTGGTTTTTGGTAGCTCTTGTGATCGAGCTGAATCTTGCAATATGAAGGAACCTTGCAATATGAAGGTTGACAATATTAACGTCACAGATGTGAGTTAAGCCAATCAAGCAATGTGTATATTGTACTTATCTTCTTATATTTGAATTCGCATCTCTTTCATGCTTGTTAGTGATATATACTGCAGCACTTTGGAGTAGTTTAGTCTAGGATATTATAACTCTGTATAGATGTCTTTTATCTTTGGTCGGATCGAGTAGATGGGGTACATGTCCAGCTTACATCAACCTCAATGTTCTGCTGCCAAAAGTGTTGAATTCCCTGTGATTAGCTATGGGCTAACTAGCTAAATGCTAAGGTACTAAAAACCAAACCCACATTTGAAAACAATTTAAATTTAAACATGTAACATTGTAGAGTAGTCGGCCCTTATCATTTTGGTGGTACATGCAAACACAATGGGTGCGTTCCTCCGTTATCAGTTCCAAGATCCTTATGGTAAGACATAACAACTTTTATAATATAGATACACTACTACCTGTAGGTCCATAGCCTAAGGTGCCATGGAATCCTTCACTCAAGGGAGATCTGGAGAAGGATTCTGATTAAAGAAGTGTCTTTACGAAATGAGGAGCCCAAGTGCAACTCTACAACCTATACATTTGAAGCCTAATACTATTACATAAACTTAGCTAGCTAATTACTCTTTCATTGCATTTTTCTTTCTTTTTGTATTCAGTAAGGAGAGAAGAATTGAACTTGAAAATAATATATACGTGGTAAGGAATAAATATTTTTACCAAGAAGAATGAGATTCTTTATAAATTATCTGACACAATATTTTATAATATTAATACAGAAATTAACATTAAACTGTTAAGTGAAAAGTCCAATTTCCTAAGCATTCTCTATCCTTACCAATCTAAACTAGTGGTGTGAATGATGAAACACAGTTGAGACTTGAGATTAATAAATAAATATATTATATAGTTCTACTAATTAATAAAACACTTATTGTTAACTAAAATCTTATGAAATTATCAGTTTAACATTTTAATTAAAACAGAACATGAATAAGAAATATGGGGCAAAATGTAATTTTACACAACCAAATTTTGCTGTTTTTTTTTTCAAAACCTCACCTACATGTAATTCTAACATATCTCTAATTAAAAATTAAAAAACCTTCCAACTCTCACATTCTCTATCACTCTCTTCCTCTCCTTCTATTTCAAAAACAAAAATAAAAAACTTTCTCACACACTTTGTGTGTGCCTAGATGCTAGTATTCCTAATACAAACAAAATCATCATACAGTCTGCCACGTCTGCTCTGCACTTGGCCATAGCGGTTTATTTATCTTCTAGATATATTACAAATTAATCATGCGGTTGACATTTATGTCCCAATGATCTCTGCTTTCTGTTGGCTAGTAATGTATTGCTGATATATTAATCATCCCACACGGCCGGATGCTTAATTAGCCAATACATTTGGCAGACTGGCCGGCGACATTTTTCTAATTAATTTGGCTCGCAAACTCTCTCACTCTCTCCCAATCCCATATAATTAACTTACACGATCGAATTATTGCCTCAACAACCAACCATTTGCCTTGTTTAATTGGTGTAATGTACCTTATTTTACATATAAGCAAATTGGAATGAACCTCCCTATATAAGTGCATTCTTTCTTAAAAAATGATTAGCTAGTGGCTTCGCCACGGTAATTCACCATTTTGAGGGGCCGGAAAGATCCAAAGGTATTTCAACATTTTCCTGAATTAGCGTCAGAAATTGAATCCAAGAATGTGCGTGTAAAATACGAACATGAAATTCGTCTCCAATAATGTTGTATGTAAAAACATATCAACTCAATTGAGGAAGTTTTTTCCTAAACTATTGAACTTTAAGTGTTTTCCTCTAAGAGAAATGTTATCAAAGGCCTACATATATATATATATATATATATATATATGTGTGTGTGTGTGTGTGTGTGAAAAAGCCGTTGTAATTTGATTTGATTTTTTTAGTTCGATTAGGCAAGGTGTAACAGAGTTAATTTTTTTGTAACATGTTCAATTTTTTTATGATGATGTTATCCACATACTATCTGCTAATTTCTGTTATTTAATTTTTTAAAATTTATTCGATCTAACGGTAAAAAATTAAGAAGTGTATGTGTGAATAGCACCACCCTTATATAACATCAATTAGAAACATCATAATATTACACCGTTTGCCTACAAATTGTTCAATTTTATATGTTTTTATTTATTTCTTGAAAATTTGTGTTTTACCATCCCTATTGGCCGAGCCAGATGGATGCCTTATTAATCCGAGAGACTATGATGTGCTTAATTTGATTTAAATTTTATTCGAGGCAATGATGCATCTTTAAACTCTTCCACTTATTCTCTCACTAATCATGTTAATGTAAAAGTATATATCTTTACAAGCATACTCTACTAAATTTGGATTTATATGTATCTAGTCATTCAGGTGATGGGAACTATTAAAAAGTATAATATCATACGATTCCATTTTTTGGGAAATTAGTCAAACTCTCAACAACTGGCTTTCTTCTAGTGTGGGATGTATGGGAACAAATAACCATATATGAAATGAAGCCGTCAGATTAATTCATGGCAAGCACGTCCAAGAAGTGGCCTACCATATAGAAAAACAAAACAAATAAACAAAATAAGGAATAAATGCCCTTGAAAAAACAAAAGGTTCCAAGTCTGGCCTTATTATTTGTATATATATGTACATGTACAGCCAGCCATTTTTCCAACCAGCAAAACCAATATTGTCAACGAAAAATGAGCAGGAAATATGCAAGATTGTGTGGTGGCCGGCCGACTGTTTGTCTCCAATCCATCCACTGTCTCTCCGGTCGAAACACACGTCTAGACGGCGTTCCGGTTCTGTCAAAGCTACTACTGATCATAACAGCACAGAGTTTTTGAACAATATCAGCAGCAGCGGGGATGATGACTTGAGTAGTACTGCAGAGGATGTGAAAAGTGGGAACAAGATAATGGTTGTTGTGGATTCAAGCCTTGAAGCTAAGGGAGCTCTCGAATGGGCACTATCCTACACTGTCCAATCCCAGGATACCATTGTTCTTCTTCATGTAGCCAAACCCTCCAAACAACAAGGTCAGAAAACTGAGATTAATCTCCTTGTTTTTAATTATCTTGTTTCATTAATATTAATTATCTTGTTGCATTAATCTTCTTGCAGACTCAAATGGGAAGACTAATTTGAGGGCTTTTGAACTGCTTCACTCTATGAAAAATGTGTGTCAAAGAAAACGGCCTGGGGTAAGTTTAATTAACAAATTCTTTGTTTTCCCCAAATTTGTTTCTGCATAAGAGCAAAACTAGTAATGAATATGTTTAGTGATAGAATGTAAGTATCTGATCCTGAATCAGTTAACAATGATCGAGAAACCCTAAGATCATTTAAACTTTCATACAAGGCTTTCATTTTCCCGACGAGGTGAGATTTTACTCTCATGTCCATAACCATTCAATCTAGTAGCACTCGATCTCCATTATAAAAGTCTTGAGTTCAAATTTCGGGGCGGACAATCATTTATCTACAAAAAGAAAGACGTTTAGTTCATCATCGACTTCTGTCAATGTAGATCAATCATAGAGACTGCCAACTATATATATGTATACAAATAAAGATCTCTATTGACCATTGAAAATTGAAATAGGTGAATGTGGAGGTAGCATTGCTTGAAGGGAAAGAGAAGGGCCCAAGAACAGTGGAAGAAGCAAAGAGACAAAGGGTGTCCCTACTTGTTCTTGGCCAAAAAGGAAAGAGGTCGAACTGGTGGCAGCTTATCAAGAGGTGGACGAGGAGCAGATCATCGGGGGAGGTTTTTGTGGAATACTGCATTCAAAATGCTGCATGCATGACGATTGCAGTGAGGAGAAAGAGCAAGAAATTGGGAGGTTACTTGATCACCACCAAGCTTCACAAGAATTTCTGGCTTCTAGCTTGATTGAAATATGACCACATGGTTCTTAGTTACATTTAAGAAGTCATTCATTTTTCAACGGAAAATCACAGTCTGACGCATATACAAAAGTATTTCACTGAAATCCAAAGAAATATGTTTTTGCATACATTTCAAATTCTAGAAATGATTTCAGCACACGTCTTTTCTCCATTTGCATACCTCTATCTATTTGTGGTATTTGAATGTAATAAGTCAAACAAGAATCGAAAAACAAAAATCAATAGGTGTGTGCAGAAGAAGAAAAAAGGCGTGCGCAAATCATTTCTTGACTTTGGTTGTTATCTTCAATGAAGAATGACTACTTGTAAAAAAAGCCAAGTATTTTCCAACCAGTACAAGACGTGGTTGTTGGGACAACAAAAATGCTAGTAGAAATTGGACGTCAACGAAAAGTAAGCCTTGATTGGAGATTATACAAGAAGTTTAAGGAATCTTGTTGAGTTTGCATTGTCGTTGTCGAGTCAACTCTTGGTGGTTGACACAAACTGCATAGCAGCTTCCAAGTTCAATCTCCTTCCTATTACACATGCTCAAGCCAAAAATCAAACCCAAAACTCAGTGCAATTTTTAAGATAAAGAGTTTTTCTTCTCAATCAAGTTACTTCAAATACTAAGGCGGGCGAAATCGTATTCCCCATACAATTTGCATACAAATTGGGATTGATTGTGGCCTTTGAATGAAAGAAATGAAAAATCCTTTGACAGTTTGATATCTTCTCTGTATTCCCCATCTTCACAAGGTATGATGTCTCAGCAGCGAAAAACGAGTTCTGAGCTCTGAAATAGAAAAGCTAATGAAACTGAAGAAGAATGATTTTCCTGTGTAAATGTGGTACCTATACGTTAAATTGCAATCCGATACAAATAATCGAATATAATTTATTCAACTGTATAGAGGGAGGACTATGATTTTCCTTAGGCATTCCAGGAAACAGCAGTGGCAATTGATCAACAAACGTTCTTACCTTATCCTGTCATTTTCCTCTTTGCCTCTTTCTACTTGAATTCTGAATCGATCTCTGTAAGCATGAATCCATTGACGAGGTATATACAGATCTCATGTCTGAAAGTTCACTTGAAAACTCCCGGTCGTGGCTCAAAAGAATAACCATGTCTATGTCCTATGTCCAGACTTTCACCTGAAAACTCTTTCATGTGGCTCAAAAGAATAACCCTGTCTATGTGTCGTGTCCAGACCTTCACTTCAAAACTCTTTGCTGCGGCTCAAAAGAATAACCACGTTTATATGCAATTCGCTGCAGCTGATCATATCCTGCAAGTACCCCAGCTCCAGCGACCCCTAGAAGCATATTTGCAGTAACTCCTCGAAACAGTGCTGTGAAACCCTCAAGGTAAACAATCTCCCGAAATGCATGCAAGGCGTTACGATACTTTGACGGTTGTCCTGATGTTAGCATCATTCTCCGCCGAACGGTATCAAATGGATAGGCGCAGACCCCAGAGACTGTTGTAACACTCCAGCCAAGCAAAAAACTAGCTAAAAAATTCCCCTGTAAAAATTCAAATGATATAAACTGAGGCTGAGGATCATTTGAGAAGGAGAGCACATTAGCAGTTAGAACCAAGAATGATTAGACAAATTCAAATCCCAAAGTACACATGCATGCGAATACACTCGCTTTGAATTGTTCAAATAATACTGAGATGCTTACCTCGAAAGGACCAACCAAAACAATAGGCTTCATGGTGTCATAAATCCCGAAGTACATTCCTCGATACATCGTAATTCCAATGATCGAAGCCCCAAATCCTCGATAGAGACCAACTATTCCATCGCTTGATAAGGTTTTAGTGTAAACATCTAGAATCCCACTGAACTGGCGTTGACCACTAACTGCAGACCCTCTCCCATCGGTGCCTAGCCGTGTACGTGCATAGTCCAGATGATATAGAAATAATGAAGTAGTTGCTCCAGCAGCACTTCCTGAAGCCACATTTCCAGCAAACCACTTTATGTATCCATCTTTCTCTTTTGAGCAGCCAAAGATGCTTTTGAAGTAACCTCTAAATGCAAAGTTGAAAGCCTACAAGCATTCCAAATTATGTTCGGCGAGGACTGTCAAAACATGACATTCATTGGATTTAACATAGCATACCAAAGTTTCTGAAGTTTCAAGCAAAAATGTTAAATGATCAACTGTCCACTATCTTATGAGATGCCAAGTGATGGAATTAAGAAAAGTGGGTGGAGATCTCTACGATTAAGATGGTAAAAAAAAAATTGTACTAAGCTAGTGGACTTTCCATCCAACACTGGTTGTGAAAACCCAGAGTATATATTTACAAGATAAATCTAAGGTCTATGAAAGCACGCATGGCAAACCTTTGATAAGATAGAGAATCCAAATACAGTATGAAATTCACCAAGCATTCCAGTTACTACATCTTCTCAAACTGACCGATATCTGAACCAACCAACCATTTCAAAGAAAGAATTCGACCAAGGGGAAAAGCGTCTTGAAAAGTTAACACACATCGTGAAATTGCTTGCTTTGATAGAAAACTAAACAAATGCAGTTAATCACTGAATGATTTCACTGAAAAAATCAAATACACCGATCAAATCACTCCATAATTAATCATTCAATAGTTTCAGTGTGGGAGAGTGAAGCAGATGAAGTACCTGAGTAGGAAAATATCGAATAACATTGGCCTGGTTGCCTCGCCAAAACGACAACACGCCTTCCTCTCTAAACACCCTAGTAAAGCAATCACCAACACCCTTATAAGGTCTCTTAATCTGCCCTCTTTTTATCATCTCTCCCTGATTCTGCAGCAGAAGCTTCACTCTCTCAATGGGTGCTGCTGCACTTTTTGACACCAAGGCTGCCATTCCCCCCATCACAAAATCCACAGAAAACTTCTCTGACTTTGTTGCCATTGCAACCCCTTTCTCTCTCCTCCCTCCCTCTCTCTTTCTAGACCTGAACACTCCAATCAAAAGTAGAAATGAACCAACAAAACCAGAATACAATCAAATGGGTGAAAGATTAAGTCTTTTTAGAAATTCAACAACAACCCAATGATGAAAAAAGCATTTAATTTCATATAAATTTCCAAAAAAAAAAAAAAAAAAAAACTAACAATTTCCGATCATTTTCCCATTTCAGTCAAGAAAAAGCATGAAACTTTCTATCGCGAAAGCTGCTGGGAATATTATAAACCAAAAATTAGAGATGGGGTTTTACGTACCTTGAAGATTTTTGGAGAGAAATTGAAAGGAGAGAGACGGTGGAGTTGATGGGTAGCGTGGCGGGCTTTTCACTTTTAGTGCCGGATAACGGGTCGCTTTCCCATCACCCGAAATTACAAAAGCGGCTATTTTCAGAAGTAAAATTTTGGAAATTCGATGGAATCGCACTTCGCCGTCGATGACTCTCGATCGGTTGACTAATTGGACTCTTGCTTCGGAGGCGAGTTCTGAATCGTTGGATTTATGTGGGAAAAAAACAAAACTGAAATAATAAAAAAAAAATACAGATTAAGCAGCGTTTGGTATGCCTATTAATGCTTGGAGGTTCAAACATAAGAAAAACGTAGTTTTGTCAAACACGACCTTAACAAAAAATTGGCAACATCTTGAACTGCTACAACTAGGGGTCGGCAAACAGGTCCTAGACCCGCAGGTCGGGACGGGTACAAGACGGGTCTAAAAATTATAAATACCAAACAGTTCTAAAGTTAGAGAAAGCGAGCCCCCGGCCCAGACCGTTCATTCCTACTGACTATTTTTTATTACCCTTCTTAGACCTAATTTCACTCAAGCCTCACCCTCACCCTCTCTCTCCCGAGTTCACTCCGAGTCTCATCCCTCATCTCTCAATCTCTTCCCGATCTCCTCTCTCTCGATCTCCTCCCGATCTCCTACCTCTTGATCTCCTTTCTCTCTCTCTCTCTCTCCCCCATCTCATCCGCCCTAAACCCAACTCAACCCCTTTCTTCCTCTCGTCTTCTCCAACCTTCACAAAGCATAACCAGGCATATACCTAGGAACCGACACAAGATCCACGAAATCGTGCTCCGCCTCTGGCGCCATCCTCCATAGGTACAGTAAAATTATACACACACTCACATATACATACATGTATATGTGTATCTAAATATTTTAATTTAAAATGTTAGCTTTGAATTTATGAAATGATTGTTAGGTTTTATGCGGCAGATGTGAGGGCGGAGAGCTTCGAGGTGCTCGACAAGTGCAAGAGGAAGGTTGTGGTGACGGCGAATCCGACGGTGATGGTGGAGTGGGTTTGGGTCTGGGTCGGGTCGGGCTTGGCCGAGACGATGAGTGAGTTGAAGATCGGGAAAACGAGCGAGTCTGGGAGACAATCAAAACCAGAAGGAAAAAAAAAAAAAAGTAAAGAGGACTCGTGGGCTCGTCTCAAACCGACCCGTTTGAAACGGGCGGGGTTAGGTCCGGTTCCAATGATCAAATTTGCAATACCCGGTCTGGCCTAGTCTATTTCCTTTTTAAGCGGGTCCGGTCCGGTCCCTCTAAATTTTGGCCCGCCCCGCCCCGTGTCCACCCCTAGCTATAACCACGATTGAGTTACTATCCAGCTCAGAATTGATATATGAAAAGTCAATATTACCCTTAATGTTCTTTGTACTAAAGACTATTTACTAATAATAAGGCTTAATTTCTTTTTAACAAATAATAGGTTTAATTTTAGCTACACCTGCCAAAACTTAATTTTGACTCCAAAGTTGTTCTTCAACTTCTTCTTCTTCACCATCAAACCCAACTCAATTGAATCTAAATGGGTACCAGCTGAGACTTATTCATTCTAATCTTCTCCAAAGCGATAAAATTAGACGGTAAGACTTTTTCTCCTCGTCTAATCTTATACCATCAATATGCCTTTAACCAATTGTTAAGTTAAACTCACAATCTTAAAATACAAGACAATTTGTATCCGCTTGTCAGTCCAGGGCCTGATTACCATGAAAAATGTTTCCAGAGACCCTATTGTCCTTACAGTTCCACGAATCCGAAAGATTTTTATAAAGAAGTGAGTTAATATTGATGGTCTTTGTTGAACAAAGAGTGAATGGGTGGCAAGTTACTCTGATCTTACGCGAGCCTATACTTCGGCTACTAATAAAGGTGCAGGGGCAAGAAGGGGGCTGCTAGTTCAACTTGTCTTGTTCGTGAATGAACTGAAAATAAATGAATGAGGCCGCCTTAAGCACCTTGTGTCATCAGCCTTGTCTTATCCCATTGGGGATTTGGTATCCATCGGCCAACTTCCCTGGTTCATGCTGGCATTGTAACTTAGAAGTTAGCTCCAATGGAGTCCAAACTTGTTTTCAATTTTTCAAGAAGTGCATCTTAAGAACTCAAAGGCCAGCTCTATGTTAAGAGTCCAAGCTTATTTCCAAGCCCACACTTCCTGGTGACAAGCCTTTGGCTTGCACGGGTCAATAATCGTGGGCTCTGATACCATGTTGAAATTTATTAGATCGACGGGCCCGTAGGGCCCCACTCTGACGACACCGATAATGTCTCCAATTTTACCACAAAAGGTGTAAGGTTTTACTACAAAAGGTTTCGGCATTAGTTAGAATGAGATAATCCTATTTAAAGTCATTGATTTTCTTTACCCCCACCGATGTGGGATTCCAACATATTGCCCTGCTTTTCGAACCCCTCGAATCTCATCTTGTGGATTTGGATTTGGTTAGCATGTACGGTAGTACCATTACTATTGAGTTAGTTTAGTATGGACCAACCAATAACGTCATGAAGTCTAGCCCAAGATTTCTGGGCGGTGTATCCTTAGTCATTGGATCCTTGGCTAAGGATCGATCTAACCACTTTAGTCACAATCTATGTTGCATATAGATCGGTTTATTCTAGAATTTTCAATTTTGATTACTTTCTCCACTTCGTTAAAGAAAGTCTCGAATACTTCATACCTCACACCACCACGACGATTAGTTGTTGAATCAAAAGAAATCAAACAAAATATAGCTTGATGATGTCAATTTTAATCACAGGGGTGAATCACATTTTGAAGTTGAGTTTGTATTGCGGGGCTACTAAGCCAAGAAAAATTCGACTCTTTCAACTTGCCCATATACTGCCCGTATGCCGATGAGCTGGAGAAACTTGTACAAGAAAATGGGTGATTTGATGTATTGGTTTTGGAGACACAACCTAGAGGCCTAGCGTTTTGCGTACAGCACAAGAATGCAGAGCTTTTTCCTGTTTTGTTAATAAAATGGTACTGTTTGTTTTTTGTTTATAAAAATTGACATCGTTGTTCATGTAAACCTGTTAAGTTAATGTTTTCTTTCATTTGTTCTTCTTTATTTATTCTTTCTTTCTCACCATCCTTCTTAAGATCTCTTCTTTTTCTTTATACTTTCTTTATATCTCAAGGCTAAAAACAAAATAATTATCGAACAATCGGATCCTAAAAAAGCACCTCATGCCTTCACCTTCTAATTAAAGTGACTAGTCCGAGTGTGGTGACTTTTTTTTCTTTCTAAATCTTGCTGTGTTAACTTAACTTTGGCAATCGATCGGTGGAAAGTGCGAACTCATATGCCATATTCCACATGATAGAGTGTGCTTTTGTAGGCACGTACATATATACTTGTGGTTGAGTTACAATATATAGCACGGTTCGTTCTTCTGTAAATTATGCAAGAAGGTATATATGGAGAGAAATCCTTTTGCTAGTACCATGAAAAATGCTTCAAGAGGGGCTTTTTCAGTCAGTACTTTATGGAGCAACAAAATTTCCATATTTCCATCAACTGAACTTTCACTTCTTGTGCAGTTCAGGACATGACGTGCTACGAGTGCGAGTGCAGGCCGGACACTAAGAACACACTTCTTCTCACTGCCTGCTTGTCTCCGGCCAACTCGCTTCAATGGCGTAACCCGCAACCCCGTCTTCTTCTTACTCAAGGAGTAAAGAATCCTCCCCGTGTGGAAGCTGGCATTGTTCAAGGGGATAAGCAAACTGTAGCAGAACCTTTCAATATTACTCTGATTTTTTTTTTTTTTTAAATTTTTATGATTTGTGCAGGTAACAAAGAGAAAATAAATGCATATAGGAACATAGAGACCCACTGATAACTACATTTCTCAGTTAATTTTCTTCTTTGTGCATCTGTCACATGTGATTTGCAGTCAGAAGGCAGATGGATGTCCCTCTCCCACTTACACAATCAATGTTTTCCAGTAGTTAGTCTAAATATACTAATTTGACACTAACAGATGGAAGAAAATTGAAATCCTAACTAGCAACAGAAGCACATCTGATCTCCTAAAAGTGGCGAGAAGTCCAAATATCTAGTTAAGTTAAGGTTTGCTTGTCGGTGGACTCCATAGCTGACACTTGAGATGCAATAACTGGTTGTTAGAGATGAAGAAATTGGGGTTGCAGTGTTGCACTATAAAACTAATTGACAATTTGGAAGAGTAGTTCAACCTTTTATAAGCCTTTACAAGGTTTCTTTTTTTCCAGATGTGAGACTTCTTTACCTTCGCATCCTCACATGCTCTCACATGTGATAAATTTTCAAGTTAAACACGTGGACACAAATGAATTGGGTGACTTGAAACACATGTGGTCATTTGGTTGGGTGACTTGGAGCACGTGTGGTCACTGGGGCTAAACACGTGGACACAAATGAATTGGGTGACTTAGAGCACGTGTGGTCATTGGGTTTCACATGTGGGTCATCATGCCCAGATAAAAAAAGTTAAGGTTCCACCATAAAATCAATCAACAATATAGGGAGTAGCTCAATTACTTATAAGCACATGTGAGGTCCCTCCTCTCATTAATCCGGGATTCATTGTCAACATGTCCCCTCACGTATGACGAATTTCAACCCTAAAATGTGGACAACACAAACGAAGTGACATAAAAAGCACGTGGCCATTGAACTTCACTCGTAGGACACCCTAACTACAGTAGTGAATAAAAATGAAAAAAATAAAAGGAAGAGAGTGCAAATTGAACTCAGAACTAAAGTAAATTAGTGAATAATCATTTATTCTAAAAACAATTTTCGAAAGTCGAAGATATATTGATCAATCGCTTTTATGCTGTATATCGCCCATCCCATGTTAATGTATTGGCCCCTTACATTTCATTTTATCAGTTGATAGCCCTTTTGAAAATAATTATCTAGAAAGTACTTGTGCTAAAAAAACATTTATATTTTAGAAGCACGTTGAAATTTTTATTAATAATTAAAATAATTCAAAAAATACTTAAAATACTTTTTAAAAGTGCAACTAACCTTCGAGAAAAAGTTTTCAAGTGCTTT